GCCTGCTGCCACCGGCTGGCCAGCGGCCTCCAGTGCGCTTCCCAGCCCCGGCCGGCTGCCTCTTCCCGGTTACATCGTTTACCCAGCGTCTGTTCCGCCGGGATCCACCTCCTTTCTTTTAGCGCCGTTTCCAAAGCGAGCAAAACGCAATTCCTACCCGGGACCGAAGGGGAACGCAGAACACAAAGACACCTTTAATTAAGACTTTGCACCTTTTTAACCCACTTTTGCCTTTTCGTGTCCTTTCTCCGCTCACGCAGGTGCTCCTTCAGGCAGCACTTCCTGGGATAGAGGCGCTCCAGCGCTGGCACCGTTCTGCAGCAGAAGGCTGACCGGGAGCTGAGTGGAGCCTTCCCCACGTGCCGTTACAAGGTGCGCTGCGTCGTGACAGGAACAGGCTTTTTAAAGCTGGTTGCTTTGAGCCTCCGCGGCACATTCATGCGAGGACGTTTCTCTCTCTGCTCTTTAACAAGTATTTCAAGCGCTGGGACAATTTTTGCTGCTGTGCTTCAATAGGCTTTGCAGCTGTGAGTGTGCTTTAATAGAATTTACAGCTGGGCTGAGGTATCCCCTCTCTTAAAATAACATTGCAGCTTCGTGATTCAGGAGAACGTGCCTCCCACCAGTTGCTTTGTCTGTAGCTGTGGATGCTCTGGAGCGAGAGGAGAACATGAGCAAACCCCAGGCTTTTGTGTGTGGCTAAATAGGAAGCATACTGCTGTGGTTAGGGACTACAACTACAAACAAGCCTGTTCAGATCTTGGTTTTAGCTTTGCTGATGATTTGCTTTCTGCTCTCTCATGCAGTTTTTAACCTGCTAGGGGTTTTTATCTTCACTGGTAAAATAGTAATAGGAAAAGCACGGAGTGGTTTTGGATCATCAAGTGGTTTGTTTGGGGATCTTTATGTATTGTAAAGCGCTGGATCAGAAGGATGGCAGGTGGGAGACAGTGCAGGATGTGGTGTCACTTGAACCCAGTGAGATGTGGGTCTTCTGTTTCTCAAACTGAAAAGCAGTTGGTGGCTGGGGAACTAACGGAAGAAATGTGTTATCTTAAAGAGCTGCAAACAGATACTGCCTTCCGTGGCGCTGGGCCAGTTGCTTTCAGAGCTGGTCCCATGACATCAATCCAGAATACACATAAATGAAAGCAGGGAGACTCCACAGAGCATTTTAAATCTTGCAGGTGAGGTTTTTAGGGAAGACGTGGAGAAGAGCTGCCTGAGCACGTGTGATTTGCTCAGTAGGCAGATGCCCTCGCCCCAGAGTCCAGGACCCCTGCCAAAGTGCTGGAATATTGAAGGTGGAGTGGTGCGAGTGTCACGTCCTGGAGATGCTGATGATGATGAATGGAAGGGCTGGGGAGAAGCACCTCAGCCTTGCTCCGATGGTACTTGTGGTGCTGGTGCTGTGGAGGCAGCTGGATAAAGCTGTCCTTGGCTTCCCAGGGCAAACACAGGGCAGGGAGCAGGAGGGAGGTGAGAGCGTGTTTGGCATCGCCCAGTCAGCAGCTGCTTACACAGATGTTGTGCTCAGAGTCCACATTTGAATTCTGTCTCTCTTCCGAAGAAGAAAAGCCCCAACACAAGCCCAGGTTTAAATCCCACTCAGTACACTGGAGCCTGAATGTGTGTGTAGACACTTGGTAGGGCCCCGGTGTGAGGTGCTGGTGTTTCAGCTGCTGAGGAGGTCTGTCTGTGTCTGGGATTTACAATGGGCTGAGAGTCATGTTATAACCTCTCCCCTCTGCATCCTGGCCAAGGTTAAGAATTCAGGGTTGGGTTTTCTTAATAGGAACAGTATCAAAGAGGTCTTCTGCATCATCTCCCAGGTCTGTGATTCCCTTCATAAGTGACTTGTTCATGTAGATTTGCAGCTCTTTGAAGTCCCTGATAGTAAAAAAAGGCACATAACTTACTAACGTAGCTGAAACACCTTTCTGTGTCTGTCCTCTGTTTATCAATTCAGGTTTCCAAACCCAGAGGGAGCATTCCCGTGGCATCCGTGACCTACTGAGGCAGCTTCAGAGCATGGGATGGAGGTGGTGAGCAGGACAGACCCCCACCTGCGAGAGGTGGTGTGGTTTGCGGTGCGCTGCAGAGCCCTGACGCTTCTGCTGCAGGCAAGTCTCCTGCTCCCGAACCAGGGCTGCTGTGACATCCGTTGTCTGCTGCTCCCAGGCTTCTCTTTTTAGTGTGCTTTGAGCTGCCTGGTTCTGCTTGGTTGGGAAATCGTCTTCTCCTGTGGAGAACTCACAGACCAGCTGCATCCAGAGGGGCAGGTTGCTGTTAAGTAGAATTACGTCCACGTAACTTGTTTTCATGCTGCTGTTGCAAGAGGCTGGTTTGGCAGCACAAGAGGCTGAAGTCTCTGTTTATCCACAGAAAAGGAACAATAATCTCCTCCTGTGAGTTCCTTCTAAGTCTCACTTCCAGAGATGTCCTTCCCTGAGCATGGGAGAGCTTGGTTGCTCACTCCATCCTTCCTACCTGTGTGTGCCGAGACAGCCAGCAGAGTCAGGCTGCAGCCGTGGCCCGCCTGAAACAGCATCAGCCTGAGAAAGATGGCTTTAACCTGCCAGAGGGGAGACTGAGATGAGCCCTGAGGCAGAAGTGAGGGTGCTGAGGTGCTGGCACAGGGTGCCCAGAGAAGCTGTGGCTGCCCCATCCCTGGCAGTGTTCAAGGCCAGGTTGGACACAGGGGCTTGGAGCAACCTGCTCTAGTGGAAGGTGTCCCTGCCCGTGGCAGGGGCTGGAGCTGGAGGAGCTTTAAGGTCTCTCCCAACCCAGACTGTTTGCTGATTCCACAAAAGCTGGTCAGCAGCAGCAGGGCTCCCAGCCAGCTGGCACGTTGTGGCAGCCCCGGTCACCACAGGGTAGCACTGAGCTGAGAGGAAAGACTCCGTGTTACAATGCCAGAGCCCTGGTTAGACCAGATGTGTGCTTCATGGTAAACCAGCGCCTTTGTATGTCTTTTAGTCCCAATTTGTTCAGTGTGGCCTTTTTCCTCTGCCAGTGCTGAACTCGTTGCAGGGAACTCATCCCAATCTACATGTTGTTAAGATACAAAATTTACCATCTGAGGTTTTTGGGGGTTTGGGGGTTTTGAAGCATGTTTTCCTTTGGCACTACATTACAATGCATTAAGTTCCGTGCTTCCTAGCTCGTGAACTCTCTGGAGTTTTCTCTTCACCTTTTAAAACATGGCCAGCACCACAAGCTCCTGGAGACAGGATGTGTGCATTCTGCTTCCTCAGCTCCAGAAAGCAAACACCAAGCTGCAGAGGTGATGGGCATCTAGAGACTAGAGCAGGGGACTGGGAATCATCTGCTGTTGTCTTCATCAGTTTGCTCTGGGGAAAAACTCTTTCTCTAGTTTTGTCTCCTCTCCCTTGTACATCGGCTGGGACAATAATGCCAAATGCAGTAGAACTGGAGGCTCCCCAGTGCTACAGAGGTACCTGGAGTGCATGTATGCAGTTAGATGTGCCTGAGCGTGGGGTTGAGCAGCTTTCCCTGTCCAGGCCTGTGGGAATTCATGCTGGGTATGTTCCAGAGCTTTACTCAGGTCAGATGTAAATGCCCCAGAGGGTTGTGTTTGCACCTTTCCACAGGTATCCTTACCACAGAGCCCCTCAGCCTGGCTTCTGTGCTGCTCCTGTCCCCTTCCTTGCAACCCAGGAGTCCTCCCGCTCGGTGCTTTCGGTAGGGTCTGTGCTGAACTTCAATCCTCTCTTCTTTTTCCAGGCCCTCTTCAACCTCCTGATCCCAGATCACGCTGCAGACGCTTTCTCCCCTCCTCGCCTGTCCCAGCCTGGCCTGTGGGACGTGCTGGTGGAGCAGCTGCTGGGAGGGCTGTCGCGCTGGGACGCGGAGCACTTCCTCTTCATCGCCGAGCGCGGTTACCTGTATGAGCACAACTGTGCCTTCTTCCCGCTGTACCCCCTGAGCCTGCGAGCCGTGGCCGAGGGGGCTCTGTGGCCCCTGCACTGGCTGCTGTGTGTGCGGAGCCGCCTGCTGCTCTCAGCTGTGCTGCTTAACTCCCTCTTCTCTGTCCTGGCAGCCGCTGCCCTGTATCAGCTGGGCTGCGTCGTGCTGCAGTGTCGCAGCGTGGCTTTCCTCGCTGCCATCCTCTTTTCAGTCAGCCCTGCCAACGTTTTTATGGCAGCTGCTTACTCAGAGAGCATGTTTGCCTTCCTGGCGTTCAGTGCCATGTGGCAACTGGAGAAGGGGCAGAGCTGGCTCAGTGGACTGCTCTTCTCCCTTGCGGCTGGGGTGCGTGCCAACGGGCTTGTTAATGCTGGCTTCTTTCTCTACTCCTGCAGTAAATGCTTTGCCCTCCAGCTCCAGGTGGGTTCGGGGTCAATGAGGACGTTCCCTCAGCTGTGGAAGCAGCTCCTCAGCGTGGCATCTTCAGTGGTTCTGATGTGTGCTGGGGTTTTCCTACCTTTTGCTTTATTTCAGTATTATGCCTACATGAGGTTCTGTGGTCCCGGAACCAGCCCGGAGCAGACTGTTCCTAAGCCACTGGTCCAGCTGGCTCTGGACAAGGGCTATTCTCTGGCAGCCCCAAATGGGGTAAAACCCCCTTGGTGCTCCCAGCAGGTCCCTGTGGTCTATTCCTATATTCAAGACACTTACTGGAACGTTGGCTTTCTGAGGTATTTTGAGCTCAGGCAGATACCAAATTTCTTGCTTGCTTTGCCTGTCACGCTTCTGGGCTCATGGGCTGCCTGCACCTACATCATTGCAAACCCGCGGCACTGCCTAACTCTTGGTCTAGAGAGAAGAAAGAGTGAAGAGGAGGGTAAACCAAGAGCTGGATTTTGCTGCCCTGCTGTCTTCGTCTATGTGGTCCATGCCACGGTCCTGCTGGCATTTGGGTTCTTCTGCATGCATGTGCAGGTAGGATGTTTGTAGCAACACACAGGGCTGATTTCTCAAGGGGAATGTACCATGGGGGCTGCAGCAGCAACAGTCACAGCCCAAGGTTGGCCGAGCTGGGGCAGCACAGGGCAATGCAAACCAAGAGCTTTGCCTTTCCTCTTTAGGAACTGCCTGCACAGGGAGTTTCCAAAGCAAGAGAGTTCCCAAGGAAAGCTTGCCAGGTCCTCAGTGTTGTGAGGACACTGGGATGGGGATCGAAGGGTCCAGCTGGTGTTGGGTGGCATTTGACGTGTGTAAGGCCACTGCTGGAGGACAAGGCTCATTACATTGCGCTGAGCTTAATGGATGGCAATGAAAGGAGCAAGAACCTGTCACCAGTCCCTGTGAAGTGTTTGGCAGTCTCTAGGACACTGCTGGTGGCACTAAAGGTTGGGGGTTCCAGTGAAAAAGCAGTTAAGAATGAGGTTCAAGTCTCCCCTGAAGCTGCAGCCCCTGTTCCAAGCAAGGAGTGACAAGGAGTCTAAACCCTGGGGACCACTTGAGTGCTTACACAAACGTTGTCATACTTAAAGCAGGTTGAGGTGAGAGGTGTTTGATTTCAGTGTGGTAAATGCCCACGCCACGGGTATTTCAGCCCCCCTTGTCAGCAGCCTGAGGCAGACCCGTGGCTCCTGCCATGCCTCAGTGCCAGGGCTGGTCCACAGGCAGAGACCTGCAGTGATGTGGTTTCTGCTCTGCCTGTTCTCAGGTGCTGACCCGGTTCCTCTGCTCCTCCTCTCCCATCCTGTACTGGTTCCCTGCTCCCCGCCTTCACGAATACGAACCTTTACTCTGGAGTGAAGGGACTGATGATCAAACCTCTGCATCTCGCTGCGAGGAATCTCTTCTGGGTAAATCAGGTTCCTGTGAGAACCCTGTTGTGAGGCTGCTGCTGAACTACAGATCCATCACCCTGCTCAGCACTTGCATCCTCGGATTCTTCCTGTCCTACTGGCTGCTGGGGCTGGTTCTGCACTGCAACTTCTTGCCGTGGACATAGTGTGGGGTGCGTTGGTGCAGGCTGCTTGCGGGGCAGCAGCACTGCTCACAATTGAAACCCACTTGTTCCAGAAAGCCTGGTGTACGTGTAACGATGCTGTGGTCTCGGTTACAAAGGTGGTAGTAGGTGCGTGCAGAGCTGTCACTGTGTCCAAAATGGGCACATTCTCTTTGCTGTGATGCTGCAGCATCCCACCCCTCTCTCTGCTGTCAATACTGAGAGCCAGCATTCCTGGGACAGGGAATGCGTCCTGGTTCCTGTCTTCTAGGGGAAATACTGCCACCGAGCAACAATTTATGGCAAGGATCTGTGACCATCAGATTCCCATCCATCGGGAAACCTCTGAGATGCGCCCTTCGTGGCAGGGAGCATCCTTGTGCCTTGCAGGAGCTGCTCGGGCCTCTCCCAGTTCCTTCTTTTCCGAGGCATTTTCCCCCGCTCCAAGCGGGAACCGCGGTGCCGGGACA